TGGATCAGAATTGGGAAGAAGGATGTGTTGGGCAAAGAACACTGATGAGACAAAGGCAGTGCAGCGTCCACAGCTAGACTGGCAAACTGAGAGCCTGTGCTTGCACTGCTTTTTTTTTAAAAAAATTAAGGTATAGCATACATATGGTAAAATGTATTACTTTTAAGGGTGCAGCTCAGGAGACCTGTTTTGAAGAACAAATGTCAGTGTTCATGTGTATCCTTAGGGCAAGGCAAATAATCTTTCTGCATCCCAGTTCCCTCATGTGGTAGGGTACAATTTAGAAGTACCATGCTTGTATGGATAGGGGCTCTTCATGGAAGCAAAGGATATTATGTATACTGACAATGTTTATACACAACAGAAAATAAGCAGAGAAAAGGAATGTCAATTTGTTGCTTATTTAAAATGTTTACTATTCATGCCTAATTACCACGAAGTCCAGTAACTACTGTGATTAACTATCTGTAACTATAAATATCTACTGCATTTGCATTTGTATAAACTGACCTCTATCATACTATCCTGTGTGTATACCCTGAATCTCTGTATTCCCTGCTGCCCACCATTTCTATCCAGGTCAGCTGGACAGGCAGCTCTCCTGTGTGAACTGTGGTAAGAGGTGCTCACACAAAATCAACTAGCCTAACCTCTCATGTCAACCCAATGACTCGAGTCTTATTTAAAATGGTTCCCTTCAACCAGCAGTAAGTCAACCAACATTTACTTGGTGCCTACAATGTGCCTGGCATCAAACACAGTGCAGGAAAAGTGGGTGAACGAGAGAGACAGGTCTTGGCTTCTAGGACTTCCAATCGAACGATGACAAGCTACATGGCTGAGGGACTGTTTCCATAACCACCTCCTCCATTCTCTGCACTGCCTTTTAAAGCCACAGAGCTGTTTTCTCAGGAATGCAAACACACCGGGCTGGGCTATTTTTACTTCCCATGTCTGTCTGAGGAGGAGACTTCAAGCAAGCTGGGCTCTCAGGCCTGCTTCTGCTGGCTGTGTGGACTCCACACCTTCTTACTTACCCATCCGCCCTCAGAGCAGATTCGTACTTTCTGCATGTCTGCTGGGCCGTCCTCCAGTTCCCGGCTCCGAATCTCTTCTTCCTCTTCCTCTTCTTTCAGGGTCAAATTGAGAGGGTACGCTGTGGACTCCATCTCTGCAAGCAAGATTCAGGTTCAGAAAAACCAGGTGTCACTGTGACCTCCCCAAAGCCTATAATGGGGGACGCTGAGCCACATACAAACCTCTTTAGCCCCAAGCACTGTTCCCTCTGGAGGGAAGTAAGGAAACAGAGTCGGCCAGGAAGCTACAGGGTGACATGTTTAATTGTGATAAGAGAGGCTATGGGTAGATAACGCATCTGGCTGCCTCCAAATATTTAAAAAGCTCTCTGGGGAAGAGAACCCAGACTGGTTTGTAGAGACCGGAGGGCAGAACTGAGGCTGGCCAGTGGGTAAATATTCCTGGAAAAGGTTTTAAGCAGTGAGAAAGGCAATACTTTCTCGCAGCCAGTGCCACCCAAACAGGAATCAGAGGCAGGGGAAGGGTGCTGATTTCCTATCAGTGAAGGTGTCTGAACACAGATTGGACACTTACTCAACTGGAATGGGTGCTAGAAGCCATGGGCGGAGCGGTTGGCTCAGTAGGCCCATCGCCTGGATTTTCCAAATTCAAAGGTTCTGTCCACCAGCTGGTTCAGAAAATAGGGTCATTCTACCTTAAGGGACTTTGCAAACCCAGGAGTCAGTGAAACATACTGAGGGGTACGCCTGGATACCCAAAAAGGTGCAGAAATCGGCTGTGGCCCACCCCGACAGGGAAATGACCCATTGCCTCTGGGCTGCAAATTCCCTATTCGCTGACTCTTGGCCAGTACAAAGGGCCGCGCTCCTGCCCTCTACGGGCGCGGGCAATTCCTAGGTGTGGAGTGCGGGTGCATCTTCAGGGCTGCATCGGGGGACCTCCAAAGAAAAGATCCCTCCGGAGTTCAAAGTCGGTTCCTTCGATATTTCCAAAAAAGATGGGCGAACGCGGCATGGATGGGTCTAGGCTTCAGATGCCTGCAGCTGGGACCCGAACTTGGCCGCGGTCTCCCGGCCGGCTCCGGGGCAGAGGTGGGAGGGGCCGCCGCCCCGCGCTAAGGTGCCGCAACCAGAGCCGCCGCCCGCCCTGCCCCGCCTGCGCCACCGCCGCCGCGCCCCCGGGCGCGTTCGGATTTCTCCAGCCATCTTGCCCCATTTCCCTTTCTCCGCGGCCCCGCGCCGGGAGCGCTTCCGCCGCCCCCTCCGCCCGGCCCGCCTCCCCGCCGGGCCCCCTCCCGGCCCCAGCGCACCTGCCGGGCGGCGAGAGCCGGCGCCGCCCGCCTCCCCCGGCGGGCCCGCAACAAAGCCGGCGCGCGGCAGCAGCCTCGGCCCGCCGCCCGCGCGCCCAGCGGCCCGGACCCGGGGAGGCCGGCGCCGCGCCCCGCCCCGCGCGGCACTCACGCGGCCAGCGGCCAGGGCGCGGGGTGGGGACGCGAGGGCTCCGGCCCGGCTGTCACAGCGCCATCCTTTCCGCCTCTCCGTCCTCCCGTGCGCGCGGCCCCTCGGGAGGGAGCGGGGAGGACACGTGGTGGGAGGAGGGAGGGTCCGGCCCGGAGCTGAGGGTGTTGGGAGGCGAGGGGAGGAGCGCGGCTGATGTCAGCAGGCCTCGGCGGCGCCGGGGGACGGCGTCCGCGCGAGCTCCGGGGCCCTCCTCTCGGCGCGGCTTCCGGCCGGTCCGCGCGCCGCCCGGGCAGTCCCTCGCGGGCCTGGGCAGCCGTGCCCTCGGCCTTCTCCTGCCCCACCAGCTGCAGGCCGCTTTCAGTGCTGCGTGTGACCTCGGCGTGGACGAGGCAGGAAGAGCCCGGATTGATTTTAACTGAGCGTAGCGTGGGCGCACAGTTCCATGTGCTCATTTGCAGTCACCAGCGGGTTGCACTTGCTTGGACGAGCTCTCCAGGCGCTCTCGCCGTGTTTCAGGGAATGAAAGACTAGACTGGCAAGAGAGTGTAGGGGCATGAGGCGGGGTCTTTGAGGAAGAATATTCGTATTCTGGCAGCAGGCTTCTGTCTAGAACTTCGTCATATACATGGAGAAGGAACTTCCTGATTTTTGTAGCTGTTGGTTGAATCCCAAGCATGTAATCCCTTGGACGAAGTAGGTGTATAGAAGGACCTTTCTTCTCCAAAACGTCCAAAGGAGTTGTTTACTCTCAGCCCTGTGGACAATACAACAAAAGTGACCCAAGAAGCCCTGAAGCCCTTTTCATTCCAGAAAATGATTCTGGGTTTGGGTTTTTGTTGAGAACTTGTTGAAGAAAAAATTATTCTGACTCTTGTTAAAACAGTAAAGAAGACTTTATACAGGGTTATTGCTGTAGGTGTAAAGATGATCACACTAGGGAGAGATGAGGTCTGACACGGAATGCTGGGGATGTATAGCCAAGGAGCAGAATGAAGGGGTCAGTAGATGGAAAATTACTGAGACGAGACATCAAGCGCCTAGAGGGTTTCTTGCTGAAGGCAGGCTAGGGCGATCAGATATCAAGGGTGGGGGAAGGAGAAATTTGATCAGATATCCATGGTGATCAGATATCAAGGGTGGTGATTTCTCTCTAACCTGACATAGCAGGATTCTTGCTAAAATAGAGCTGGGCAGGCCACAGGTTCGGCGCGGGGCGGGGCGGGGGGGGGGGTTGGGGGAGGGGGTGAGTGGTCAGGGGACCAGGGTGGAGGCCTGCTGAAGAAGAGGGCTTAAGCCTGATAAAACTTTGGTAAAGAAAAGAGTCCGTCAAACTCTTTAGATTGTCCCTGAGACCTGAGTATCTGTTGGAAAAGACCTGTCTTTCCAAGTTTTCATGACCACTACTACTTATATGTGAGTTTTACTTCTCTCTGTCATGGGAGAGGTCACTGTGCACTGTGCTTTTAATACATAAAATGTAGCATGACATGACCTACACATCTTTGAAGTGCAATCACGGCTGACAACCCAAGACCATAGAAGATCTAATCTGTGGGTGGAAAAGATCGTTCAAATATTGGGAGGGAGGCTAGAATTTATTTTTTTGTTTTAATGAACAATATTTTTGTGTATAAAGTAAGTATTTGTAGAACAGGAGTGACATCTTAGTTTGAATTGATTGGCACTGCCCTCTTAATTTTTCTGAGGAAATGGCAGATTCAAATAGAAATTGAGGAGGGCATTTGGAAGCGAGAAGGGTACTAGGGATGTTGCTGGCACCCCAGCATCTTAGAAAAGAAATTAATACAGTTATGAGATAGCCACACACACACACACACACACACACACACACACACCCTACTATGTTAGAGTTTTAGTCTTTGAGAGCCCTAATGTTCTCATGGGCTTGGATTAGGTGTCCCCAAGAAGAAACTAACAGTGACCCACCCGAATTCTTGACTTTGAACCCACAGTCCTATGATCTAAATTACTGTCAGAGGATCCATCTTTTTATGGGTCTGTAATTGCTAACAAGACTTACCCTAGGAGCAAGGTGCTGGCTTAGGCACAATACACTGCAGACTCATGTTTAAGTGGTTTTCTAAGTCATTGTGCTTCTTTCTGCTGGTGTTTCATCTGCAAAAAGAGAGTTGAACCATGCATTGTCCTAACATTCTCTCAGCTCTATTATTGTTCCCATTGTCCATAAGACTTTATCTGAGTCTGAATGGGGAGTGATTGAAGCCAGTCTTTGAGACAGTGCATTACTCTGGTAATTCAGTAGGATGGGTTTCTCTTAGTTGGTGGCTAATATCTGCTGAACATTCATTTAATCAACATAATAGTTCTTTAATGATGCTGTTGGTCTGACCTCATCCTTCCTCCTATTGAATTATTACAGTACACAAACCATAGGAGTTCCAAAGAGCCTCAAATTTTACAAAATACTCATTTCTAACTGTAGTGTTCCCTGGTGAATACGCATTTCTGATTTCTTTCAGCAGAGGCCCCATGGCCAGGTCAACATAGCTACTGGCCCACATACCTCTATTCCTCGGGAACTGCTGTAGATTGAATTAATAGTCTTGGTACTTTGTGTCCCTGTGGTAGTGTTATAAGCCACACCTTTGCCGTGGTGTCATGTGCAGAATGTACTTCAGTGCCCCTTCACTTGGCCTGCTTCTATGGTGAGTTTCAGCCAATGGAATGTGGGGTGAAGTGACTGTGTGCGAGTCCTGAGTAGAGGTCCTAAGAGGACTCAGAAGTTTCTCCTTGCACCTCTGGGAGCTTTTGATCTCTGCTATGACAAAAGCATGCTTAAGTAGTCACTGACCCTCCAACTTGGGCATTAGAAGGAGGCATGTGTTACAGAGCTATCCTTGCTAACATGAATACCAGTGACCATTAGAAGAGATTAGTGTTGTTTTAAGCTACTGAGTTCTGGGGTGCCTTCTTATAGAGCAATTTTGAGAGTGTAGCTTATTGAGATGATGACAAGAGGCAACCTTGGCCTTAGGGCTCCCAACCTTGGCCCTCAAGGAGTTGCTCTGAAGCAGGAGAAGGAGAATTGACCATTTTGTGGTAGATATCCTCAGGTATGCGGACAAGGGGATCCTAGATGGGGAGGAAAGGAGGAGAGAACCAAATGGGGAAGGAGCATCACTGCTGACTGTATCTTTCTCTTCCCTGGGATTCTGGCACTTCAGAGAAAGAGCAAGATAAGAACCCTAGCCTTAGAAATTACCCCATAAGAAGCCAGGCATGCCGGCTTGTATCTGTAATCCCAGCTGCTCAGGAGGCTGTAGGAAGGTTGCTTGAGGCCAGGAGTTCAAAACCAGCCTGAGCAACATAGTGAGACCCTATCATTTTTCAAAAATATTACCCAATAAAGCCAGAAGTTATTCCCGGTACATCCTGATAAAATGGTAAGGAAAATCCTGCTCTGGGGAGTTCCTTGGAAGGACTTAGAAGTTCTTGGAGAGGAGGTGTGTTGTTAGAACACCTCAGAGAGTTAAGGAACACTCAGTGGTTTCTCTAGAAGGGGAAGGGAATCAAAACACTTAGGGTCATACTATTATAGCTACTGTAATAAACAGACCCCAAATGCATAAAGGCACTAACACAACAGAAGTGTGATTTCCACTGATGTCATAGTCCAGTTTGTTTCTGTCCACAGGTGACTCCTGATGCCGTGATTTAGGATCCGTGTTCCTTCCGTCTTTTGGCTTTGCCACCATCTCGGGCCTGTGGTTTTCTCCATCTGCCAGAGTGAAGGGGAGAGAAAATGAAAAAGGTACACCCTTTTCTTGCCCCTACAGTAAAGCTTGTCTCTTTTATCACATTCCATTGGTTGGGATCAGTTACATGGTCACACCTATATGAGAAAAGGCTGGAAAATGTGTGTGTATCTCTATATAGAAGGGGAGTGTATCTCTATATAGAAGAAGAAGAAAGAAGAAGAAGAAGGGAATTGGCTTATATGATTATGGAGGCTGAGTCTCACAGTGTGCTGTCTGCAATTTGGAGAGGCAGGAAAGCTGGTATTATAATTCAACCTGAGTCTGAAGGCCTGAGAACCAGGAGCTCCAATGTCTGAGAGCAAGAGAAGATGGACACCCAGCCCAATAAAACCTTTTTGTTCTATTCAGGCCCTTAGTGGATTGGGTGATGCCTGCCTGTGTTGGTGAGGGCGAATCCAAATACTAATCTATTCCAAAAATACCCTCACAGGAACACCCATAAATAATGTTTTACCAGTTACCTGAGCATCTCTTAGCCTAGTCAAGTTGACATAGAAAATTAGCCATCACAGGTATGATATTTCTAGGTGTAAACTTTTTATATTTATTCTGCTTGGTGTTCTCTGAGTTTCCTGGATCTGTTTGGTTTGGTGTCAATTGCTAATTATGGAAAATTCTCAGCTATTATTACTTCAGATATTTTTTCTGTTTCTCTCTTTCTGTCTTTTCCTTCTGATTATTTCTGTTATGTGTATATTATAAACCTTTTATAATTTTCCCATAGTTCTGGTATTTTTTTTCTTTTTCTTTTTTTTTTTTTTAATTTTCAGTTTGGGAAGTTTCTTTTGACATATCTTCAAGTTCACTGATTCTTTCCTTGCCTGTGTCCAGTACACTAATGAGCCCATGAAAACATTCTTTATTTCTGTTATGATAGTTTTTATTTCCAGAATTTCCTCTTTCTTTCAACTTCCATCTCCCTGCTGACATTACCCATTTGTTCTTCCATGTTGTTTACTTTTTCCATTAGAGCCCTAAGCATATTAATCATAGTTATTTTAAATATCAATTTTCATAATTCCCAACTATCTGCCATATCTGAGTCTGGTTCTAATGCTTGCTTTATCTTTTCAGACTGTGTTTTTGTTTGCCTTTTTTTTGTTTGTTTTTTTTGCCCTTTACCATGCCTTGTCATTTTTTTTTTGTTGTTGAAAACCAGACAAGATCTATCAGGTAAAAGGAACTGAGATGAAAAGGCCTTCAGTGTGAGGTTTCATGTATATCTAGCTGGAACTTAGGCTGGGTTTATTGTTTGCTGTGCTTGTAGTGTTGGAGTCTAAAATTTCCTCTCATACCTGTGCTTTTGTCTGCACTGTCATCTTTGGATTTCTGTAGACTCCTAAAAACAGTCTGAGGCTTGCATTTCTTTTATCTATAAGCCCCTGTTACTAGACAGGTGCCTGATTGATGTGGTGTTAGGATTTGGAGGGAGAAGCAGCATTCTTTGATCCTAAGATTAGGTCTCAGTCTTAGCGAGCCTGTGTCTCTGGGCTAGGACCTTCACAGGTGCTTCTCAGGTCTTCCCATTCCCCCTTAAGTGAGACAGGAAGAGCAGGCTGGATTTGGGCATTTCCCTTCCCCAAGTCTGGTAGACTCTGGTAAAACCCTTGTTGGTTAGGCTCTGATAAAATAGTTTCCCTTGAAGGCAGGCTTTTGTTGAGAACAGAATGCTCTGGGGTTGTTTCAAAAGGATTACTTGTCCCGTTCCCCTTGCCAGAAACATTAGAGGAACTTTCTCTGATTTTAACCTTGAGAACCTGATGGAGCTTCTGGAGGTAAAATTTGAATGTGTGGGAGCTCCATTGCAATTGCCCTTCCCCTGGTGGGGAGAGGTTACCTTGCCTGCAGGTCCACATTGAGCCTCTGACAAGTGTTCCTATCGTATTGGCTCCAGCAGTGGCTTCTGCACCTGTAAGCCATGATTCTCTGTCTTCCCCCATCTCTCCATTTATTGAGGTGGCAACTTGCCCTGTGACCTCCATTTTCTGATAACGCTAAAAAAAATGTTAATTTTCCGTTTGTTCGGCATTTTTTTCTTATGAGGATGGGAGTTACTAGTTCTAAATTCTTTATATATTTGGACTGGAAACTGCTTCTCTTATTAGAAAAAAATTATTTTACTCATGGAAGAGAATGAAAATCACTTGAAATTCTCATCACACGCATATAACTGATGAATATGGTTGTTTCTTAGCAAAAGCTGAGGGAATGACATCAACTTGTGGCTCAGTGAAGATAACTAAGTAAGGTGATAAATATATGAACTGTAATATTTATCCATTAGGTGTCTAAATTTTCACTGAAGGAATGAATTTAGAGATTTTGGAGGGGTAAATGGGAGCTTACTTGTTGTTTAGTCTTCTCTAAATGTCATTGCTCCCAGCCTAGCTTTTGCTAGGAGCTAGAAAGGAGACTTCTCTAATGAGAAGTCTCATTCACTTCTCTCATTCACTTCCCTAATGAGAGAGTGAAATGCTGGTGTCTTATATTGCCCACTGGAAGTTTCTAAGTGCTTTGGAATCCACTTCAGCAGAGGAAGAGTTGATATCTAACTACAAAATTACAAAAAATAAGTGGCCTGGATAAAAAGGCATCTGTAGACAAAGCCAGACTTTTCTTCATAAGTAATTTTAGATCAGTTTCAGCACATGTTTGGTGGAATCCCTAAAGTTCTAAACCTCAAGCATGGTAAAATAATTTTGATCTGGAAAAATTTTAAGCATATGTTAAGAGTTTGTTAGCAGTGGTGAATATCCCAGTTATTGGCAGCATATGCATATGGGTTGCAGCAACCTCAATTCTTGCCTCCTCAGAAGAAAGAATTTGACAGAGAGACATAGTCAGAAAAAAGGGACCAAAGCAAGTTTCAGAGTAGGAGTTGAAGTTTACTAAAAAGTTTTGGAGCAGGAAAGAAAGGAAAGTATACTTGAAAGAGACCCAAGTGGGCATCTTGGAGGTCAAGTGCTTGGTTTAACGTTGAACCTAGGATTTTATATACTGGCCTTCTTCAGGCATCTTGCACCCCTTTCCTTTCATTCTTCCCTTAGAGTGAGCTGCCAGCATGTGTGGTGCCCTGCTTGTGCTTGGAAGGAGAGCATGTATGCTGTGCGTACTGGAGTTGTACGCATGCTCACCTGAGGCTTTCTTCCCCTTCCCAGTGGAATGCCCCTGGAGGGTCATACTCCACCATTTTGCCTCTTAATGCACATGCTCTGGTCACAGCCAGCACCAGGGAGAGGCAGTTTGCCAACAGATAAAATACATGAAATTGGTAATCGGCAGCTTCCAATAAGATCTCAGGAACTGGGCAAGTGGGCTTGCCAATTATCATTTTAGAGAGGCAGGGTGACAACTGCCGGACTATCACCTGATGGTTGCCTGACATTCCTGGTGGGTTGGGGGAGCCCTGTCCTGCCCTGCTCATGCTTTACTAGCTACCTACTGTAACAAGTTGTCTTGTAGAAGTTATAGAAGAGTAATAGTCCCATGAATATAATTTCTCATCTGCTATGGTTTGGATGTGGCTTGTCCCTGACAATGTGATTGTGTTGAGAGAAGTTTGGGTCTTGAGGTATCCACCTTCATGAAAGATTAATGATGTTCAAGGGAGTGAGTGAGTTCTGACTCTGGCAGGAAGAGAGCAGATTTAACAGAGTAAACCAAAAAGTATCTGAGACAGTCAGATTAATTTAGTGATTAGTTTTGCCAAGGTTAAGGACCATGGCCTGTAACACAGCCTCAGGAGGTCCTGAGAACATGTGCCCAAGGTTGGGTTACAGCTTGGGACAGAAGCTATAGGCAAAGACGTAAATCAGTACATGGAAGGTATATGTTGGTTCAGCCCACAAAGGCAGGACTTCTCAAAGTGTCGGGGGCTTCCAGGTCTTAGGTGGTGTATTAGTCTGTTTTCATGCTGCTGATAAAGACATACCTGAGACTGGGAAGAAAAAGAGGTTTAATTGGACGAACAGTTCCACATGGCTAGGGAGGCCTCAGAATCATGGCCCGAAGCAAAAGACACTTCTTGCATGGTGGTGGCAAGAGAAAAATTAAGAAGATGCAAAAGTGGAAACCCCTGATAAAACCATTATGTCTTGTGAGATTTATTCACTACCACAAGAAAAATATGGAGGAAACTACCACCAGGATTCAATTATCTCCCGCTGGGTCTCTCCCACAATACATGGGAATTATGGGAATACAATTCAAGACAAGACTTTGTTGCGGGAAGTCAGGGACCCCGAACAGAGGGACCAGCTGAAGCCACGGCAGAAGAACATAAATTGTGAAGATTTCATGGACATTTATTAGTTCCCCAAATTAATACTTTTATAATTTCTTACACCTGTCTTTACTGCAGTCTCTGAACATAAATTGTGAAGATTTCATGAACACTTATCACTTCCCCAGTCAATACCCTTGTGATTTCCTATGCCTGTCTTTACTTTAATCTTTTAATCCTATCATCTTCTTTGTAAGCTAGGGAGGATATATGTCACCTCAGGACCCTGTGATGATTGCGTTAACTGCACAAATTGTTTGTAGAGCATGTATGTTTGAACAATATGAAATCTGGGCATCTTGAAAAAAGAACAGGATAACAGCAATGTTCAGGGAGCAAGAGAGAGAAGACTTCTGACTGCCTTGAGCCGGATGGAACAGAGCCATATTTCTCTTGTTTCAAAGGCAAATAGGAGAAATATTGCTGAATTCTTTTTCTCAGCAAGGAACATCCCTGAGAAAGAGAATGTGCCCTGAGGGTAGGTCTATAGATGGCCCCCTTGAGGTGGCCGCCTTTTACGGTCGAAGCAGAAGGGATGAAATAAGCCCTGGTCTCCTGTAGTGTTCCCAGGCTTATTAGGATGAGGAAATTCCAGCCTAATAAATTTTGGTCAGACAGGTTGCCTGCTTTCAAACCGTGTCTCCTGATAAGATGTTATCAATGACAATGCGTGCCTGAAACTTTATTAGCAATTTTAATTTAGCCCCATCC